GGAAAATGGCCGCGGACTTTGTGTCAGGGGCGCAAAAATGGCCGCGGACCGCGTGTCGGGTGGAAAAATGCCCACGGACCACGTGTTGGGAGAAAAAATGGCCATACCCCGAGGTGGAGTTCGCACATCGAGGTAAATTTTTGCGGCCGGAGCTGGTCGTAACCCGAAAAGTTCGTTAGTAGAGGCGTTCGTATCCCGAGGTACCACTGTATTCTCCTAAATGGATCAGCTCTTTCTACACACTGCACATTTAGAATCCACATAGCTTATCTGAACTCACATATTTATTGGGTTTTCTCCTGTAATTTCTTAAAAAAAAAAAAAAGCCAGTGCTGGTATTAAGAGTTTCTCTACAGTCCAGGCATTCCTCCCAAAATAAGACCTCTTATGGGAAATAAGGGCAGTGCCCCTTTTGGATCTTTTTCCACACTTCAAGCTTTTTTATGGTCCTCCCACGTGCATTCCTTTAGATCTGATAAGGCTACTCTTCCAACTGAAAGTTACTCCACAGTTCACATCTTTCTATTGGTTTTCCCATGTGGGTCCCTTTATGGGAAGAAAAAACTTGAGATGCAAGCTCCAAACTTACGGTTTCTTTCTTGTGTGGATTCTTTCATGTTGTGAAAGGTGATTTTTCTGGCTGAAGCTTTTCCCACACTCTGTGCATTTGTATGGTTTCTCTCCTGTGTGAATCCTTTTATGTTTAATAAGGTTAGCGTTCTGAGTAAAGCTCTTTCCACACTCCAGGCATTTGTATGGTTTTTCTCCTGTGTGGATCCTTTTATGGCAAATAAAGTTACTGTCCTTACGGAAGCTCTTTCCACACTCCGCACATTTATGTGGTTTCTCCCCTGTGTGGATTCTTATATGGATTCTAAGGTTTGAACGTCCACTGAACTTCTTTCCACACATCAGGCATGTATATGGTTTCTCCCCAGTATGGGTTCGTTGATGATATCTGAGGACAAAGTTATAAGAAAATCTCTTTCCACACTCTGTGCATTTATATGGCTTCTCTCCCGTGTGCTTTTTTTTATGAGATGTAAGACGACTGCTTTTATTAAAACCCTTTCCACACTCTAGGCATTTATATGGTTTCTCTCCTGTATGAATTCTTTTATGGCAAATAAAATAACTGCTGCAACTGAAACTCTTTCCACATTCCTTGCATTTATATGGTTTCTCCCCTGTGTGAATTCTTTTATGATGCAGAAGTTTATAGTTCTTACTGAAGCTTTTTCCACATTCTATGCATCTGTATGGATTCTCTCCTGTGTGAATTCTTTTATGTTGAAAAAGGCTACTATTCTGGCTGAAGTTTTTTCCACACTCCATGCATTTGTATGGTTTTTCTCCTGTGTGGATCCTTTTATGGCAAATAAAATGACTTCTCTGATTAAAACTCTTTCCACATTCTGGGCACCTATATGGTTTCTCCCCTGTATGCATTCTTTTATGTTGCAAAAGGCTACTTTTCTGACGGAAGGTCTTTCCACACTCCGGGCATTGATATGGTTTCTCCCCTGTGTGAATTCTTTTATGTCGCAAAAGGCTACTGTTCTGACTGAAGTTCTTCCCACATTCCATGCATTTGTATGGTTTTTCTCCTGTATGGATCCTTTTATGACAAACAAGGACACTGTTGTCACGGAAGCTTTTTCCACACTCTGTACATATATATGGTTTCTCCTCCGTGTGTCTTCTTACATGTATCTTAAGGTTTGAACGTCCACTGAACTTCTTTCCACACTGCAGGCATATATATGGCTTCTCCCCTGTGTGGGTTCTCTGATGTCTCGTAAGTTGACCACTCTGATTGAATCTTCTTCCACACACCAGGCATACATACGGTTTCTCACCCGTATGGATCCTTTCATGTATGATAAGCTTACGTCTCTCAGTGAAAATCTTTTCACACTCCAGACATTTATAGGTTTTCTCCCCTGTGTGTATCCTTTCATGTATAGTAAGTTTACCTTTCTGAGTGAACGTCTTTTCACACTGCAGACATTTATAGGGTTTTTCCCTTGGGGGATTTTTTGGGGGTAAAATAAGCATTTGTTTCTTACTAAATCCCTCTCTACATTCATATGGTTTCTCTTCTTTATGGGAAATAAGATGACTGCTCAAACTTAAATTTTCCCCACAATTTATAAATGTATATGGTGTCTCTCTGATATACAACTGGTGATGTAAAGCAAAAGAGGAGATAGGATTGATACTTTGCCCATCCTCTTGATACTCATATTCTTCCTCTTTAGTCTGCATTGTACAATGTTTACTCAAATCGGATTTCTCCTCATCTCTTTTGCCACATGCAAGATATTTTCCCTTTTCTTCTTGTTGGTGAACTTGCTGGGTTGGGAGGTCATGGACTTCATTGTGACCAGAAAGAGAAGAATTCTTCCTTCTATTCCTTATGCAGCTTTTTTTACTCCTTTGTGGTGCTCCTTGATTTCCAAGCAGCCCTTTTTTAGACTTGAACATTTGTAAGAGTGCTATGCTGGGCTCCTTGTATTTCTCATGCTCCTGCCCGTAAGCTAATTGGAAGAGAAAGAAAGAAAGAAAGAAAGAAAGAAAGAAAGAAAGAAAGAAAGAAAGAAAGAAAGTGGGCCATTGGTCACATGC